TAGTCTTAAACTGCTAAAGTAGGGATGGCTAGCGCAGATAGCCCTCGTGTAGCTTTGCACGAAATCCATAACAAACAAACAAACTATAATGTTAAAGAGTGATTTAAGATTATTTTAACCATGCTATTAGATAAAACTAAAAATAATAAACTATCAGATGTCTTTTAGTGTTTTAAATTCTGTGCATATTAGTATAATTAGCTGATAACGGTGTTGCATATCTGCTTGTTTGTTAATTTCCCGTAGAAATTCTTTCCCAGAAACTTCAGCAATACAAGTTCTTTCTTGATTAAAACTAGTTTATTCTTTCTCGACACAACTTTTTTGTGATACACAGAATTTCCACAGTCACTTTAAACTTAACAACCTTTATAACACCAGCTATAAATCACAGTGATTCACACACTTTACTTACGTTGCCTACTGTTCGCTTGACTCAATTATCTATCTCTTCAATCGCGATGGTTTTTCTCGCTAGGCTTATATGCTAAAAAGAGGGCGTCTCGAATGCACTCGAGCCTTCATGATCATTAGAGAAATGTCACGCATACTACTAGCGCCAAACGCACCAGCAGAGTCACGTGACTTCCGCTGTCGTAACAAAGAGTTTATTCCTAGATTGTACTACTTTAAAATTTATCAGTGTTAAAGTGTTTTCATTATATACTTGATTATCATAAACATCATCATTATCTCGTGTATCTATCTTGCCAAATAGATGATTTTTTAAAATTTACTCTTACGTTGTCATACTTTACAATTGATCAATTTTAAAGGGTTTTCATTATATGTTTTTGTGAAATTTATTAAGATCATTTTGAATGCTAATATTGACAGAATAGTTAATGCTGAATAGTGACTCTTCTGTATTCATTTTTTATTTAATTTACAGTTCATATAAATTTTTACATACACAATATATTTTTAACTGTAACATATACATCGAAATTATCAAACTTATTTTTAGCTGATCAGGTTCCCCCTCCACTCCCCCGAATTGACCCTTGTAGTATATTAGGCCCAAAACCAAAGCGGTTGCTTTGCCATTTTCAAGGAAATAGACCCCAGAGTTTCCAGGCTCTTATGCGCAGATCCCTGCCAATTTTCTTTCATCTCGAGTCTACAGACTCTGACAACATTTCTTTCACTTTTTTATCTTTTTAAGTCTCATCTCACCACGGTAACATCTAACTCGAGTTTGCTACATATTAGGCATTATTATGTATTTATTTGTTTTCACAATGATCGATTTTTTAGCGAATTTGATTACCTGTGAGTCCTGTGATATTTATCCTTTTCCAGGGCTTTTTGTGTGTGTGATTGGTTTGACCATACTTTGAAACATTGCGAGCTTAATATTAACATCCACTATACAATTTATAGAGGTATTTAAATATTTTTGAATAGGTTTTTAATATACTTCTTTTTTAGTAAGTTACATTTTTCCTCTGTCCGCACCCTTTGCCATACCACATCACCTATCACTATCTGCGGAAAAGTACTTACTGGTCTTAGACCTACACCATAATATAATTGTTTTTCATTTATCTGTACGGTTGAATATGGCAAGGTACGGACGAGTTGCCCGTGTTATATTTGATTTGGATGGCTTGCTTGTGGGTAAGAAAATAAGTAACCAAGTGTTGAAATACTGTCAAGCATATAAATATGTAAATTACGGTACTGAAGTTTCAGACAGAAATAGAAACCGCAGAACATTACTAACTTGATCTAACTTTTCTAGTTTAGGCTAAATTTGAATTTACCACATTCGCCCCATTAATAATAATAATTAATTAATAGTGTAAACTCTATGTTTAATTGTACAAAGCTAGTTTTTGTGTATGCTATATATTTTGTATAATTACTCTAAGCTGCAGCGCAGCTGACAGAGTACTGTGTACTAGTAAGTCTAGTGCTTTAGCTACACTTTAAGCTAACAACAGCGTAATAACTTCTGAGGCCCTTTCGCTACGCGACACACGATAGTTTATGCACAGTACACAGAAGTATCGGATGTCATCATGAAATATTGAACGTATTCGTTTGTTGAAATCAGACGATAATTATGATATATCAAAACGAAAAAAGTGAAACTGTTTATGATGAATGTCACAACGAATTTTTCATTAGAATACATTGAAATAATTTACTGTTATAACCTAGATTTAAATTTAGAAAATCTACGAATGTTTTCTGCAATACATAGCGACTACAGAAAACGTCAGTGAAATCACTTGCGTGTATTGTTCATTTTAGTTAATTTTCCACCTGATGAATAAAATAAAAAAAATTCTCAGTATGGAGCTACGGTGTAAGTTGTCATATTTAACTTTGCTTTTATAGTTAATAGAATATTATTAATAATTTGTATTATTATTATGTTAACATTTAATTATCAAGTTATTTGTAATTTATGCCTTGGTAGCTCAGCAGTGAGTCGCAAAGCTTTAACGCTAAAATTCGGGGTTTGATCCTCGATTTGGACACGCACAAGATAGTTTTTTTATGTAGTATTGTGCTAAAATAGACAACAGTTTGTGTAATAATAACTAATATTTTGTTTTTTCGTTTTCTCTTCTTGTCTTTATGTGTGTTTTATTTCTGAGTATCTTTGATTATCTTGTAATTTAACTGAAGTTTTATTGAATGTTTCATTTTTCATACAATTGGGTAATTATTGATTGCAGACTCAGAACCAGTTTATGCAGAAATTGCAAGAAAGGTTTGTAAAAAATATGGTAAAGAATACACTCGTGAAACTCACATGAAAGAAATGGGGCTTAGTGTAGATGAAAGTTGTCAAGTGGTAGTGCAGGCTTTACAGCTTCCTATAACTCCAGAAGAATACAGGCTTCAACTAGAGAGCGATTGTGAATATGAAAGAAGACTCGCTGAAGCACCTCTTATGCCAGGTTAGATTAATGTTCAGATATGGTATTTCACTAAGTGTATGCATGTACATTTTTTATTTGGATATCGGTTACAAAACTTAATATGTTGTCCTTGTTGGACAGTCGTCACTGACTTTTGAAAACCAAGTTTAATATAGTAAAACATCTTGAAAGAGAATTTCAGAAGATATAAGATGTGTGTATGACTAGGGGGTCTAGCAAGTTGACAGTAAAGTTTGTTTTGACTAATAGATGGTTGCATAATTTCTTACGGGTTTTTGATTTAATTTTTTTTTTGTAAATGACAGAATATAAAACAATTGGATACAAATGGTAGCACCCAGTGTCACATTTTACAAATGCCAGATACTAACAACATTTGTACTAAGTAGCACTTTTAACTTCTTTTAGAGGAAGCTTTCATATGGTTCCTAGATGTAATTTGTACAGTACAGGTGTAAAGCTGTTTCTACCTGATATCTTGAAACTTTTTCGATGACGAGGAACCCACTTTGAGACTAATAATGGCTGGAGACGGCTTAAATGGGTAATGAAGAAAAACTTTAATATAAGTTTAACATGACAGCAAATGTACAACGTTTCGACAAGGTTTTGTCATCATCAGGTACCAATGATGGCTGGAGACGGCTTAAATGGGTAATGAAGAAAAACTTTAATATAAGTTTAACATGACAGCAAATGTGCAACGTTTCGACAAGGTTTTGTCATCATCAGGTACCAATGATGGCTGGAGACGGCTTAAATGGGTAATGAAGAAAAACTTTAATATAAGTTTAACATGACAGCAAATGTACAA